TATAAGTTTCCAAGCTGCCTCCGATTCCAACATCACGTTGACCATGTTGTCCGCTCTAATGGAGCGGCCCAATGCTTCTTTCAGACAACGCCTCTCCTCTAGGAAGCGTCCACATTCGAATAAGACGTGGTTGGCGTCCTCCACTCGACCTCGTCCGGCTGTAGCTGGGCGTTGCATCAATGGAGTGCTGTTCCGTCTGATTTTAAAGAGTTCGATAAATGACCATAGCCGAGATTTACGGATATTCGTCAAAGCCTATACACTTAAATGTGGACATTATGTGCTATTTGGAAAAAAAAAAGTTCACATGTCCACGTTTGTACCGTATTGTCAAGGTAGTTCAGGTTTCGGTGGAAAGGGCATTTCCGGCTCTTAGGCTTGTAAGACAGATTTTATGTCCAACCTAGTTGCAGACTGTGCAAAAATGATGTTATTAAAACTAAATAAATATAAAACGTATATGAAGTGTTATATCCTTGGGTACCGGAAAATATGACAATAATACATATAGTGTATATATATAAACATATAACTATATATACAGTGATTATTATACTCATTCACGAAAGTGAAATGTGTATATTGGTTTTGTGCAGTGTCCGTCTTGCTGTCCGTCCGTCTGTCCGTATGAACGCAGTTCATTTCGGCTCTATTGAAGTTAGGGACTTGAAATTTGGAACGAATACTCGTGTATCTCTCCGATTCATAAAGTGTTAACCACTAGAAGCGTGGCAAATCGGAAAATGCTAGAAAGCTGAAACTTGGAATGTAGATCGGCATCGACCACCCAAGATCACGTGCTATGTTGGATATATATACGCCCTTTGGGGCGTGGCAAATCGGATAGGACGTTAAAATTTTGCACGTGAGCTAATGTTATGAGATATAGTGATTTTGGAAATTCTGCTATATTTTGGATACTATTGATGCTAGAGACCTCAAATTTGCTATATAGGCTCGGGCTGACCTCCCAAGACCAAACATTTTTGGTGGAAATATATCCTCCCATAGGGGGCATGGCAAACTGCAAAAGTTTATATCTCCTAAAGTATAAGAGCTAGAAGCTTCAAATTTGGATAATTAAGTTTTTAGTAGCTTTCACAGTATTAGAGCTAAACTTGGCTACTAAATTGCTTATGTGATGTGAATGAGTATTCCGCAGTCGTTATCGCCTGACTGCAAGGTTCTTACTTGTGCTTATTTTGTATCTGTCTCCCCCTCACGTTACTTGCTTAATAATTAAATTTATATGTACAGTGCTTATCATAATTATAACCCACCTTGCGGCTACCGCAATTTGTGTTTTATTCATAGAAAACTAAGAAAGAACCACAGTAGCAAGTTTGTTAAGTACAGAGTAGACTTGGATTTACAGACATTATAGGTAAGTAAATTTACATATTTTTTAATAGATGCCGCTTGGAAAACAATTATCTGATTAGGAAAAGCGCCGTATTTTTTCCCTTTTGGAGTCAGGAGAGTCTATTTCGAGTATTTCACGAAACTTGAAAAGTAGTCGTGACTGTAGTAGTGACGGATCTGACATACGCGCGTTTGAATCATCGTCTTTCGGCTTACATATTGATACATATTGATTTTTACCCTAACAGGTCGTATTTTTTGATGGGAAGCAGTTTAACTTGGATGGTCCAAATGGATTTAATTCTTATAAGCATAATTTGAGAAAGGATCCTAGCTTGATTTGGGGTAGATTTTGTTCATTTGGTATCTTGGAACGAGCCGAATGAAGAGTGAAAAGTATATTCATACTCTTGATAGTAGTCTCATTCCATATTTAACAGAATTTTGTGAGAGATCCATGGTTTTCCAACGGGATAATGCCAGAATCCATGTGAGCAGAAGTACAAAGGAGTATTTAGAGGAATGTCATCTTGGTGTCCTTAACTGTGCAGCTTGTTGTCCTGATAAAAAATGTCTGGGGTATTCTTGCAAGACGGCCAATTTGAGACAGTTGGATATCTTAAAACCCAAATTTTAAATGAATGGCAAAGCCTCTAAAAGTTTGTCATTAATAATTGAAATATTAAACTACTGATTTTTCAAGATTTTGAGGTATACGTCATTAGCGAAAAACTTCCAGCCAATTCGTTTGATTGCATTTATAAGTGAGGTATAAATCTGATAATGACTGTATATGTATATGTATATATATATATGTATATATATATATAAAGTTATGATGTGATATTTATATAAAAATTGATCTGAAATACTGATTTTTTATTTGTATGATAAAAATTATTTATAACAATTAAAAATGATATTACTAAAAATTGCTAACAAAAGTTTATCCTTTGTTTTGATTTCCCGTAAAAATAAACTTGTATGTGTTTTCCCCTCTCTTTTTGGGGCTTATTTTGAGCCTCAATTTTTTTCAAATTCATAACTCTTATTTGTGGTCCCTGATTTAATTACCTGAAAGCTTAAAAGCACAATAATTCTTTATTTTGCTTATATCTGACAGATCGATTGGCAAAAACCATCTCTGGTTCTTGGGAAATTGTGGAAAAAGATAATGAGATAACACCACCAGGTACTCCACCGCCGCCTTACTTAACCAATTCACACATGTCTGTACCAGAAGAGCCCAATGAAAACTGTAGTGGAGGAGCAGGAATATGTATAGAATCGCATCACTTTACTCCTATGGCAGGGGCAACTTCATCTTCGGCTCTTCATTCTAGCCGTTTACATGCAGCCCAATCATCTGACACTCAAAAAAAAATTATTTCAATGGAAGATGAAAATTCGTCCGATCAAGAAGAACCATTTATTGATGAGAATGGTCCATTCAATAACTTAACACGGCTGCTTGAGCCAGAAAATGTAGTTTTTCTAGCTGTTTTCCTTAACTATGTTTTATCAAACTCCGAACCAGCGCCACTTCTTTTTTACTTAATTACTGAACTTTATAAGGAAGGTACTTCCAAAGACATGCGAAAATGGGCATATGAAATACATTCAACCTTTCTTGTACCACGTGCACCGCTTTCATGGTATCGGCAAGATGAGTCTTTAGCTAGAGAAGTGGACAATGTGTTACAATCGGAATTTGACAAAGTGGAAATACTGAGTACTGTGTTCTTACGTAGTCGAAAACGCGCCAAGGACCTTATTAGCGAACAGTTGCGAGAATTTCAGCAAAAGCGTACAGCTGGTCTAGGTACAATATATGGACCTACCGATGATAAGCTCGCTGAAGCAAAGGCCGACAAACAGAAGGAACAAATTATTGATAAATATCTTATGCCTAATCTTCAATTGTTAATGTAAGCATGAAATATTACTCTATTATTTTGATTAATCCAAGGTGTAATTTACCCAACTATAGTGAAGAGTTTGAAAAGGATTTGCCTCAAGAAGATTCTCGAAAATTAGCCTTGTGTTCTGCTCTTTCCACGGTTATACATCGCATATTTACAACACGCTCGCATCCAAGCACTATAGCGGATCGTGTTCATCATTTTGTTAGTCGTGAAAAAAGTTTTAAATCACGATTAATGGGTAAAAATAGAAAGGTTTGTTAATTTGAACTCAGAAAAATACTGTCACGTTCGACCAGTTATATTTGATATAATTGAAGTCAATTTGCTATTATCCTCTTTAAATCCCTTTCTGCCTTGAAACATATTTCTCATAAGCATTTCTATATAATTTGACTAGATGATAGCACGAGGTCATCCGTTAGTATTACGGCAATATTACGAAGTAACGCATTGTAATCATTGCCAAACGATCATTTGGGGTGTGAGTCCCCAAGGTTATCATTGCACAGGTAATATTTTCTCCTTTTCGTATGCGCCGAGTATTACAATGTTATTTTTTTTTTGCAGATTGTAAATTGAATATACATAGACTATGCTCAAAGGTTTTAGAAGAAAGCTGTCCGGGACCTCTTCCTCAAGCAAAACGACACCCGCATAACGACAATAAAATTAGTAAATTTATGGGTAAAATAAGGCCACGGACAAGCGATTTTATAGCAAGTGAGTTGATACAAAAAAAATTTGTCTGGAAACTTCGCTAATTTTATTTATTTTAGATGAAAAGCGCGCTCGCCAGGAAGACACAGACATTGATATTACAGACAACGGTAAGTGTGTGTGGCCATCACATATCTTTCTTTTAATATATATACATTGGCCAAATTAATGTGTGTGAATGTTTTTTTTTTTATGATAATGACATTTATATTTTCTCATGCAACTTAAAACACTTGCATTAAAAAATAGGCATGTTGTTCTGTGATAAAGAGTCTGGTCCGTAAAAAAGGTCCAGAGTATAAAAAACAACTTGCGGCCTCTCCAGAATAAGAAGGCCAGTGTTTAACATCAACGCAAGCGCAGCTTGCACAGTAGAGAGCGAACCTATGCGCATCTAAGCTCAAGCAGCGGGAGAGCAACAACAACTACTCTGTACAGTGGTTTAACTTCATCATCAAATACTTAACCATACAATAATAAATAACCATACAATAATGAAGCAGAGGGCATATATCCAAATGCCTTAACATCGGCCAATTTGAAAGGCCGCAGGAGTATATTAGTTAAGTGGCAGTGGTGGATTGCCCTTTTGTAGGTGCCGAATTTGGTATTTAAGGCAACCAATCGCACCCTACCATCTCCGCTGGCTATGGATTCCATCACTACGCCTAATATCCATAGTTTCGGAGGAGTGTCTTACGAGGACGACTGTTTCAACCTCCCCGTTTTGACTCTCCTTGTTCCACTCCAACTTCTGCGGGAGGCTGAGCAGATAGTCCCTTGACCAGTCTATCCCAAATCGACGCTTGCGGTTGAATTATGGATATGACTGCAAGAAATGCGAAACCTTATTCAGACGCTGTAAGAATCAGTTATTCTCTTGTTTTCCATTGATAAAACTGAATATATACAACTATGCGAATTAATTTATAGAATGAGTAAATTGCTTCAACAAGTTGTACGACGGGATTTGTTACCGCATTGACCGCGATCATAGTAATTGCAGTTCTACGCTTCTCTAGCAGCTTTAAACATTTGATAATGTGATTTGTGGGTTGGCTGGCCACTACTTGTCAGAAAGCTTTAAAATTCCTGGTCGGCAAAACCACAGTCATGTTTAAAGCGATTAGCAACGAATGTATTCAAGCTAGATGAATGCATTCGCAGCCAATGAAGCACAACCTCCGAGTTCGACCAAAAGGTTACTTGATCAATAGGACAATTAAGTAGTTTCATTACTGCAACCAACAAGGTAGCTGAACGAATACACTTGACTATGATGGTGTTTAGTTTCGTATTGATCTTTATT